TCCTTCTTATCCCCGGACAGTTCTTCATCTACATGTCTCCATTACGTATCACAGGATCTCTTTCCCTTATGATAGTTATTTTGGAATCATTTCTCGTCTCCTTTTTCTGATTATTTCTCCTCCTCCTCCTCCTCCTCATATCAAAGCGGTTTAACTGTGTTTTCCCATTCTAAACGCTGTCACCTTGCATTACTTCAGGCCTTCTACTGGGCGCCCAGTGGGTTATTTATGTGCACTACGGCTCTAGGTGTGAGCGCACTTTCTTCAACCACAATATGTTCATGAAGGAGGATAGGATAATCTCAGATGGGCTCAAAACCTTTTCAAGAAAAAAACGGTATTGAACTTTTGGGACATAATTGTTACATATAGGCTTTGTGAATGGAAGAACTACCAGGCCAGGAACGACTATTTAACAGCTAACAGTTAAACGGTAATCAATCTCTAATTATAGATGATACATTATGCAAAAAAAGGTATTCAATAACTGCAAACAAACTGGGCATTGTGGACGAAACATATGCATCTACAGGTTGTTACGTCCAAAACAGCTGGAAGCATGATAATTGAACAGGCGTGAACGAATCTGTGTTTAAGTAGTGCCCCCTTCACTGGACAAAGAAGATGGAGGAAAACAAGGGTAGGTGCTGTGGAGATTTTGGGACTTTTTCGTCTCATTGACCCAAATGTAAAAATATTCATTCAAGAATTAGCATGAACTAAAATCTGTTCTGTGGTTTCCCCTTCGACATGATATAAACGTGGCTTTCAAATGTGGTTCAATTCAATCATTTCGGTTTTTATATAGCCCTACAGTAAGTCACAGCAGCAGCAGTCGTCTCGGAGAAGTTGGCGCTCCGTGAACAGTAGATCAGAGAATCAAACCGTTGTTGGTGCAGCACAGTTACATACAGTGCGTGTTTATTCTGAGGAATGATAAAGAACTAGACTCAAAGATACATCACATGGTATTGGTTACACACTCCATAGCCACAGCTGCCATGGGGGAGACCGACCGAAGCGTGGCTGGCAATCTGAGCCATTGACCCCTCTGACATCAATCATTTTCACACACACACGAGAGCCATGTGTGTGTGTGTGTGTGTGTGTGTGTGCACTTGTTTTCAACTCCTGGTGGGTTCCATAACCTGAGATTCCACTCACGTCATGGGGACTGGTTTTACGTGGTGGGGCCCGAACACCGGACCCCACTGGTCCAAGCTTAATAATCAATGGGTAATGCTTTTCTAACGGTCCTTATGCAGTCTCTGTAAAAATATGGAAAGGACCCCTGGAGGTTTACTTTCCTGAAAAAAGTGTGTTATGTGTCGGAACCCTGGTGGTGGGTTGCGGGATATCAAGGAGGGGCACACTGGGGCAATTTCAGTCCAGCAGGCTGGAGCCAATCATGGAGCAGCACAACAGAGGAAATCAGGTGTCAGGCTAGAAAAAGGTGCAAGTGTGTGGTTCATTAGGCTGCAAGAAATCATGGAGGAGCACACTGAAGCGCACGCTTACAAACCACTGGTAAGTGCTGACTACAAGTCATGACTTCAAATTGTTATATAGAATGATTACAAATTATTTGTTGTTTGTGCAGCTTAGTCAAGAGTCCCTAATTGATGAAGTCGACTCAGATTCTGACGATTTAACTGTCAAGAAGAAACCTGTAAAAAAGTATGGAAAAAGAAAAATCAAAAACACTTTTCTTCAAGACTCGGAAAGTGACGAACCAAAGGCAAATAAGATTGTTATCATGCAGCTGCAAAAGAAGAAAAATGGGGGGCGAGTATACAGCAAGAGACACTTCTGCCTCTACTGTTCAATGTCCTGCCACAAAATGTCCCGTCATTTGACTAGAAAACATGGAAATGAAAGTGACGTAGCCAGAGCATTGGCTCTACCTGTGAAATCTAAAGCACGTAAACTTCAGTTTGATTTGATCAGGAATAGTGGAAACCGTGAGCACAATTTTGAGGTTTTAAAGGCCGGCATTGGAACTTTAGTCCCAGCTAAACAGCCAAATTCCCCAGTTAAATCCAGTGAGTTTTTGCACTGTATAGACTGTGGGGCATTGCTTAAGCGAAAGTCGCTGTGGAGGCATGTGGCCAGGTGCCGGCTTTCACAGAAAGATGCCCAGGCTAAACCAGGTAGAAGTAGGGTCCAGTCCCTCTGCTCCTTAGCCCAGCCTGTACCGGAGGGCATCAGCAAAAAGCTGTGGTCTTTAATTTCGGCAATGCATCAGGATGAGGTCACGGGTGTTGTCAAAGCAGAAAAGGGGATTCTGAGACTCGGAGAGCACCTGTACTTAAAACACGGGCATGATAAGACAAAGCATGATTACATTAGGCAGAAAATGAGAGAAGTCGGTAGGTTAATTAACGAAGCAAAAACCGCAGGGAAACTGAAAACAATTAAGGATTTCTTTATTCCTTCCAACTTTAACCATGTGATTGATGCAGTCAGGTCTGTGGCTGGATATGATGAGGAAACAAATCAATACAAGACTCCATCCTTGGCCCTCAAACTCGGCCATAGCCTCAGAAAGCTAGCAGATATTCTTGAATGTGACTCAAAAATGGAGCATTGTGTTGATGAACTATTTATTAAAAACCTCCAACGAAGCCGGCTGCTTTTTGAGAAGAGGTGGGACGTCTGTGTTTCTTCTGCTGCCCTACAGACCCTCCGGCAAGCCAAGTGGAACACTCCGGACCTGCTCCCTCTGACTGAGGACGTTAGAGCCATGCATGCACATATTGAGGTATGTCGACCTGAATATGTGCAAACCCTAATAAGTGAGCCAACGTCTAAGCATTGGTCTAAACTGGCAGTTTTGACTCTTTGTGAGGTCATCATTTTCAATCGAAGAAGGGAAGGTGAGGTTTCAAAGATGCCACTGACAGCCTTTACCTTAAGAAGTAAGACTGGGATCCATTCTGACATTGCTCTGGGACTGTCCCAACTTGAGAAAAAGCTGTGTCAGCATTTTCAACGCATTGAAATTAAAGGGAAAAGAAGTCGGAAAGTGCCGGTTCTTTTGACTCCTGAAATGATTGCTTCGATGGAGGTGCTGGTGGAGAACAGAAGGGCCTGTTCCATCTCTGACCATAACCCATACTTCTTTTCCCGCCCGGGCGCAGACACCCACATCAGGGGATCAGACTCCCTACGCCAGGTAGCCAAAGAATGTGGTGCGGTGCATCCAGAGATGCTATCCTCAACCAAACTTAGAAAAGCACATAGCTACTATGTCTACAGTTCCATCCCCCCCCCCCCGTCCTCCCAACATTAACCTTCCACTACCCTCCCCTCCCTCCCACTACCTGTCTTCCCCCCTCGTCCTGTCCCCTTCTTGACCTGACGACCCCCCCATCCACCCCTTAACTGACCCGCCCTATTACACCCTCACCTTCTCTATAGTAGGTCTCACCGTTCCTCCTTAAATATCCTTCATGCCTCTCCCTGATCTTCTATTCCCTCCCGTCCCCTCCCCCCAAGTCGCCCACCCAACCCTATCCCGGACCACTCAGTCTACTCTCCCGCCCCCCCGTCACGTCCCTCCCATATACTCGACATTCTCATTCACACTCCCCTCCCCAACTGCCACCCTTGAACCGCTCCCCCTGCCTAGACCCTCAGCTCTCTACCGCAGTCCACCACCCCACACTCTTACCCCCAATTCTCACCACCTCACATCAGGAAAACTCCTGTTTTACGACCACAACAACACTCACCGCACTCACCTCATTATACCACAAGTAGACTCCCATCTTATTTCGACGAGAGTCTCACTAATTCCTCCCTTAACCCCCCCCTTCCCGCAACCCACACTTCCCAACTCACGCCCCCTCACACCCCCCTCCGGCTGGCTTGCACTTGCCCAACTACCATCCTACAATACCACGGCCCCTCCTCGCCCACCCGACTCATCACACACCCCCCCCTCTACTTACACCAACCCCCGCCCATTTGACAGTAGCATGAAAGCACGAACTGCCGCACTCAAACAGACCCAAAAAAATTTTCAAACCTTAACCACAACCCAACCCCAGAAAAAATAGAGAAATAGAGACATCATCGACACAAGAAACCCCCACACCCACCTCACCCCAAAGCGG